GGAGCTAAATATGAGACATAGAAGATGGATGGAGTTCCTGAAGGATTATGACTTTCAGTTACTTTATCATCCAGGGAAGGCAAATGTGGTGGCTGACGCCTTGAGTAGGAAGACAGTTCAGATGTCAGCAATGATGATGGATGAATTGAGATTACTCGAGCAGTTCAGGGATCTGCATCTAGATGTAGAGTTTCGTGATACTAGCATTAGTTGTGGTAGCATTACCATTACTAATGATTTTCTCGAGATGATCAGAGATAGATAGCAGGGTGATATGACGTTGAAAGGTGTTATGCATCAGTTAGGATCTGAACATACCATTGACTACAAGATGGGTGATGATAGTATTATGAGATTCAGAGGAAGGATTTGCATTCCTGTTGACCAAGAATTGAAGAGAGCAATCCTAGATGAAGGTCATCAGAGTCGTCTGAGTCTACACCCTGGTATGACTAAGATGTATCAGGATCTGAAGAAGGTTTATTGGTGACCTAGTATGAGGAGAGATGTTGCAAAGTATGTGGCTGCTTGTTTGACTTGTTAGAAAGCAAAGGTAGAACACCAGAGGCCGTGAGGAATGCTACAGCAAATGGAGATACCTGAGTGGAAGTGGGATAGCATCACCATGGATTTTGTTACCCATTTACCACGGACAGTTCAGGGACACGATTCGATCTGGGTGATAGTGGACAGATTGACGAAGAGTGAACATTTCCTCCCCGTAAATCTGAGGATATCTATGGCTAAGCTGACACAACTATATATTCGCGAGATTGTCCGATTACATGGGATGTCATCTAGCATTATCTCATATAGAGATTCCAGATTTACTTCATGATTCTGACAGACTTTACAAGAGGCATTAGGTACCCGACTTAGGTTGAGTTCAACCTATCACCCCTAGACAGATGGACAATCAGAGAGGACCATCCAGTCACTAGAAGACTTGTTGAGATCTTGTGTGTTGGATAATCTAGGAAGTTGGGATGATATTATTCCATTAATAGAGTTCACGTATAATAACAACTATCATGCCAGTATCGGGATGACACCATATGAGACTCTTTATGAGAAGAGGTGTCAAACACCTTTATGTTGGTATCAAGATGATGAGAAAGTGTTGATCGAACCTAAGCTACTCCAGCATACTACAGAGAAGGTTCGGGAGATACAAGAGAAGCTGAGAGCCGCTATGAGTAAACAAAAATCATATGCGGACCAAAGGAGGAGACCTTTGGAATTTGAGGGGGGAGACCATGTATTTTTGAGAATCAGACCTACTACTGTAGTAGGAAGGGCAATTATGTCTAAGAAGTTGACTCCCAAGTTTATTATCCCATATCAGATTCTAAAGAAGGTAGGCCTAGTGGCATATCAGTTAATGTTGTCACCTCATTTGGTAAATTTGCACAATGTATTTTATGTATCTCAGTTGAGAAAATATGTGCATGACCCCAATCATGTCCTGGAGTCAGACGATGTGCAGATTAAAGACAATCTCTCCGTTGATGTGAGACTAGTGAGGATAGAGGATTCTCAGTTGAAGCAACTTAGAGGTAGAACCATCTCAATGGTGAAGGTAGTATGGGATCAGAAATCCATAGACTTCACTTGGGAGATGGAGGATCAGATACAAGAGTCTTATCCATATCTATTCCCTAGTAAGTTCATTTTCGAGGACGAAAATTTTTGTGCAGGGGAGATTGTTAACTATGTTTTTTTTTTATATATATTATAATAATATTACTGTGCAAAAACTATTGTGCAAAAAACATCGTAGTGAAGTTTCCTCTGCACGCCAATTTTCTAAATATGTACAAAGGGGGAAGGAATGGTTACAATAATAAATTCTTCCTCCCATATCATGCGTTCTTCGTCCTTATTCTCCTTTCGTCTAAATTTCAAGTAAATGATACTCTATTCGTGCAGGATCTGGTGAAACGGGAGAGAGTTTGAATTAAGTGGGAAAACTTCGATAGAAATACAACACAAGGTAAGGGGAAGTTTAATTCATTCAATATATGAGACTGAATTGTTGGGTACTCTGAGAATAAGGAATAAAAGTGGAAATTTGAAGTATTGAACGACTGATTTTAAATATTTCTTCATGTTTGAAAAGTTTGAAATTTTCTTGAAATTTTTGAAATTAAGAATGAATTATATGGTAAAATTGTTGTTTTTGACTTCAATTGAACATAATTCATGTTTAATTTGAATTTGAAACCAATTTGCTTGTCTAATACTGAGAAATTAGAAATTTGCAAAATTTGATACAGTTACTGGATGCGAGGTTGAAGAAAGGGATAAGGGGGGATTTTTGAAAAAGATCAAGGGTAAAATAGTCATTTTACATCCTAGGACATAAATGGAATTTTTGAAAATATTAAAGGGTAAAACAGTCATTTTAGGGACATGGAAGGAATTTTCGAAAATGTCCAAGGGTAAAATAGTCATTTTAGGGATATGGAAGGAATTTTCGAAAATGTTCAAGGGTAAAATAGTCATTTTCGGGATATGAAAGGAATAATCGTAAATATCCAAGGGTAAAATAGTCATTTTTGGGACATGAAAGGAATAATCGAAAATGTTCAAGGGTAAAATAGTCATTTTTGGGACATGGAAGGAATAATAGAAAATGTCCAAGGGTAAAATAGTCATTTAGGGACAAACATGGAGTTTTAAGAAAAGATTAAGGGCAAAATAGTAATTTAATGATTTCGGGATGAAAAAGGAATAATGGAAAATGTTTAAAGGTATAATTGGAACTTTAAAAATAAAGTAAAGGTATGTTAGGAAAAATAATTAAAATATAGAATGAAATTAGAAATTTTAAAGAATCAACAGTGTGTTGTGACGTGTGTGACTCAGCCAGAGGGTTGATGCCCAAAATCAGTTAAGTACTATTATTTATTGACCCGAATGAGCCATGAGGACAGGTGGTCCAGAATCCGGCAGATGTGAATGATTGTTGTTGTGTTTGAATGGTACCCGGGGTGGTACAGAGTATATTAGTGTACTAACTATGTCGGGGGATTCAGATGAGGTCCGAGACTTCACTGATTGGTCGGGTTAAGTAGACTACGAGATCAGGTGGTGAAAAGTCAATGGGGGATGACTGGTGGTGCGCTCGGAGGGGTACTCTAGAATGAGTGATGAAGGGCATTAGTAATCCCACTTGTGCAGAGGGTGGTCAGAATGGTACTGCGAGTGCCGACCATAATGTGCCCATAGATGATAGTCTTTGAGTTCGGGCATAATTAGGGTAGACTTCCAAAATGTATCTTAGTGTATTGATGATTTGTAATTGATGATAATATGTAATTATTAATTCTATATCTGATTTATTATATCAAATGATTTAATACTTACCCCTATTTTTCCATGTGGATGAGACGATGATCACTTTTATGTGAGAGCAAATCAGGAGTTGAGAGGTAGAGATGTGACTACTGAATAACAAGAATAGTTCAGTGGGATAACTTTATGAGAGCTACTATGTATCTATATAAAAAAATTATATGTTACTATATTTTGAAGTTCCGTAAATGAACCGAGATTTCAATCTATATTATAATTATGATAATGTAATGTAATATAGATGTTGTTATTTAATTGTTTATTATTTTGCGAAGATATTATTATAATAATGATTTTTATGATTATTACAATTTGAGTCAAATAATTGGGTTATTGCTTATTTATGTTAGAATTCATGTTGGCACCTACATTTGAAATATGACAATTTAGAAAAAAAATTGGACTGAATGATATTTTTGTTCTTGTTGGGTTTAAGTGTTGAATGCTCTTAAACTTATCAAAATAAATGAAAATTTTTTATGAAAATGAATTATCAAAATAAAACGAAAGAAAAAGATATTTAAAAATGGGAAGCATAAAATGAGAATTTCGATAAACTAATCCAATGGTGAGATACTCATGCTTACTGTGTAACCAATGCTTACACTTTGGATGTTTGGGTGGAGTTAGCTTGTAATTGGTGAATGTCAAAATATGCACAGTGATACTTGTCTTCAAGAAGATTTTATTACTTTATATTATTTTATTTAGTCAGCCTAATGTTGTTGAGACTATATAAATCTCAATAGATTTTCTTGTGCTAGGTTAGGTATTCTAAACTTCAGATAATTGATGGTTAGGAAAAAAAAAATTCCTCAATATATTTTTTGTTTGGTACTCTTTTATGTTTTCTTTTGAATTGTTCATCTTTATGGTTATGTATGAGTACAGTCTTTTAGTTATGGAATTGGAATTTAGTATTCATGATTATTTATTTTAAATTGTGCTTTTATTTTATTTTTTATTGTTAAGTTTATGCAAAGATTTTAACGATTTGTTTTGCATTTTCATAAACTCGTTGGACAAGATTGTGAGGAAAATCTAATTATTGAACCATTAATAAAAAACTTAGGTTTTGAATAACGAGATTTCAAAAAAATCAATGAATGAACAGGGTTTGACATTAATTTACACTAAATTAGAATATAAAAAAAAGAGATAAAAATAAAGAGACCAAGTCAATACAAAATTTTTGTGTGAAAATTATTCCGAAAATATTTTTACATAAATTTTATATAAACTACATTGTATTCTTTGATTTTTTTTTTCTCCTTGATTTCTTATTTCATTATCATTTATCAAATTCAATTAGTTTTATTTTTATTTTATGTTAAATTATGATAATTTCAAAGTCAAATACGTAATTTTTGTTATTTTTATTATTATTATTACTATTATTTAATGACACTAATTTTGTAATTTTTGTGTATTTTAAAATGATTTTCTATAATTATTTTTTGAAATCTAGATTGAAAGGAAAGTATAGAGAAAGTGGGTTTAATAAACTTAGTTTGTAAAATAACTTTCATCCATACTTAAATTTACAAACTTTAGTTCAAACATCGTTTAATTCTTTTGAATTACTTCATTTTTCTTTAGTTAAACATGAAAATTAAATTCTTTATCTATTATGAAATGGTTACCTTGTACTTGTACATTGTACTGTTCCCGCCACAGTTGGGTAAAAAAAATAAAGCTTAATGAAATGAGATTCTCTTTCTGGGCCACTTCTTGGGCCAGTTCCCAAAACAGGTTAGATACTTTCTTAGGGGCAGGTAGACTCTTTTCACTCGAGTTACCTTAGTCTCACCAAAAATTGAAATTTATTTTCATTGTATTAAATTAAATAAAAAAACACAATAAATAGTGTATTTTGAGTGAAATCACCAATAATTTTTGTTGTTGTACAAATTACCTATCTAAATGGACAACTATTATATTGGTAAATTCAAATTTTAGAATGAGAAATTACTGATATTTTAAATGAATCTGAATATCTAAATTAAACACTTAATTTAAAATACATATTATAAAACCATCAAAATCTATAAATATTGCTTAAAAAATCTTTAAATATCTCATTTATTATGTCTTGAAATATTTAAATTATCATCCTAGATGGTATTTATTATAATAATAATAATAATAATAATATTATTATTATTATTATTACCTAGCTAATTATGATAATAATGATAGATATGGCTTGGCGTATGTTGGAGAAATTATCAAGTTACTTCTTATTTTAAAAATAATTATGAATTTATAATGTCACATCATTTTTAAATAATTTATCTTTAATTTTATCTCCATCTATCTTTAAGTTATGTGATGAGATACTTAAGTAAAATATCATTGCTTTAATCAACCTTTTATTGCGGAATCCAATGTGTCATAATAATTTACTTTTTTTAATAGTTATTTTCTTAAGCAAACTTATAGATATAAATAAAACAAAATAAATGAGGAGAGCAAATAAGTTCTTTAAAATTAAAAAGAAAAACTATTAGAGTAAAATCATAATGAGTTACTTAAGAGGATGTGTCACAATAAATTCATATTTTACATTTTTTTTAAAATAAGGAATAACTCATTAATTATTTTCATTGGAGATGTCTTTAGAATTTTTTTTAATAAAATTTAAAGAACTTGTTTTTTTTCTTCATTTATTTGTTTTTTTTTTTTTTTTTTTTTAAATAGGTTGATGAAACAATTATACTAAAATTTAAGAAACTTATCATACCACATACTTCCTCGAATAAAAATTGTTTTAAATAAATAGTACCTTACTTAAGCAAACTAATAAGACAATCATGATAGTGGTGATAATAAATTATTAATAATTTATAAAATTCATACCAGATAATTAAGTTGTTAATTTAATCTTCTATTTTAACTTAACAAAATAAAATGTTTATTTTTATTTTCAATAAAAAAAATCACTTACACATATTTCTTTATTCTTTAGTTATCTCTACTAATTGTTAATTATTATTCTTTAGAATAATATATTAATAAATTTATATATTAAAAGAGAAAGACATGATTAAATTTATAGATATTAATTAAAAAATTCATCTTCTATCTAAAAGAGTTTTAATATCCTAAAACAAGATTTCAAGTTATATCATGTAAACCTGGATTTAATATTTCTAAATATAATTTGAATAGAAAATCAAGTTGTTTCGCAAATATTTTATATATATAGAGAATATGTTTAATCAATTTTAAAATTCTATAGATAGAGGATTAAACAATTTATTTTTATAACTTCAAATCTTTCATTTATCTAAATTATTATTTTGTACGTTTTTTCTATTGAAATATTGTTAGAATTCTCGATGGGGAGTGGTAAAGAGGAGTTAAGAAGACATAAAATGATAATGTCTGATGAAAGATTAACTTCAGGTAAGTTTTTTAATCTTCTTAGGAGTTTATTTAAAGTTTCTAAATTAAGAGAAAAAATAATGATTTATAACTTCAAACATCCTGATGTTGGAATGTTGTCTAGGTTGTGATGTAATGAAAGTATAATGGACTGTAGAATTAAATGAAAATAAATTTGGAAATCAGGAAGATATAGGTAAGAGAAGTGTGTATCTTCAAAGATAATGCTAATGTTATGTTGAAGTTAAATTATTAGTTTTGGTGTTATTTGAATTATGAAAGCATGTTGGAATAACACACCCTTATGATTTTATTTGTATTTTACATACATGTATCTATGAATATGCATGCTTGGATTGATTTGTTGGTTGGAAAACTTTTCCATTGCTTTACTTCATCATCACTAATATGAGTCTCTTTATTCAAGCCATGAGTTGAGTGCTCGAATTACAGTTAAAATAATAGAAAATGTGACTTAAACGATGACAATCCATCAAGCAATAAGTCATTGTTCGAGCGAGGAAGCATTCAATAGCAATACACTCAAGTAATTAGTTAGTATTCAATAATAACATCATTAGAGGAGAGAAACTTGATATGACAGGTGTCTTGCTCAAATGAGATACCTACATAGGAAAAAGAATGGGCACGACATGAATATTGCTTACGCAACTTGAAGGCGCTTGTATGGTGGATCTTCTTGGGAACTGAGGGGGGTCGTGACCCCTTCCCCTAAAGTTTTGTAATTCTCATGTAATTTATGATTTTGGTCACCCAATCTTTAATATATTTACTTGTGTATTTATAATTTTATACTCTGAGGCTCTTCTCAATTTTGTAACTCATAATTTATGATTTGACCCCTCCCAAACTTAATAATCATTTATATATTTACTTATACATTTACAATTTTATCCTCTCACCCTTTCATCTTCTTTCATCCTTTTATATTTATTTATTATTTTTTAATAATATATTATTTGGTCCCCTCAAAATTAATGGTTAAGATCCACCACTGGGCGCTTGAGTGACGTTAATTTTGAAGATAATTATTTATATTTGTTAGTCGCTTAAATAGATAGAGTGATACTTAAGTAAGGAAAAAATAAAATTGATTATTTTGTTTTAGAGGTACTTTGCTCAAGTTTTGAAGACAATGCAAGTGAAGTGGTTTCATTCCTCAAACGTTAATAAGTCATCCAAGTGAGGTAGATAAAATAAAATGAATTAAGTACTGAAAGTACATATCTTAAATGACTAAAGTAGCATTAAAATGATGTACCTTGTTTTTTAAGGTAGTGATGGATGTGTGTATGTGAGAATTGGGCCCATTTGAGATGCATGTAAGTGAATACATGTGAAGCAAGCCAAGCTTGAGATGTTTATCTAAAATTGGCTAATGTATATTGATACACATGGGACAATTTAATCTAAGGAAGTGCCCTAGAAATGACAAGTATGATTACATGTTTGGGTGTGTGAGGGTGATGTTAACATGAGGTAGTGACCTACAAATGACGACTGATGTTAGGATAATACTTTGAATATGTTAGTGTGGTACTAATGTTGGTAGGTTCAATTAGATAACTAAGATCCATTCACCAATTCGTATAGATTAAAGTATCAGGTGATGACTAATGAGAACATTACTAAATAATAATACCCTGAAGTTATGAGAGGTACACTAAGAAATGTAATGTTGTTAGTAGTTTTATTGTATTTGAAGGGTAGTCAAAGTATTAATGTGATTAGAATTCTAATATAGTATCCAATTACAATGTGAGACAAGATAGCTTAAGGATAGTCTTGAAATGACAAACACTACAAAAAAAAATGCTTATTATCTACGGGTAAAATTCGTAGGTAATGACAAAAATCCGTAGGTAATGCACTCGCTGGAATTACCTACGGATTATAATCCGTAGGTAATGCATTCACTTAAACAAAATATTTTTATTTATTACAACCCCCTCCCCTTTATATTATATTTTTATTATTTATTATATTTTTGGAACTTTGAATTATTATTAGATTAAGGGAATTGTCATTGGCAGGATTTAAACCCAGTACCTCGAGTTGGAGGATGATACTCCATCCACTAAGCTATTAGGATATTTTGATAATAATTTACAAATAAATTATATTTATATTTATCCGTGTAAATATATAAATATAAAAAAAATATATAAATATAAAATATATAAATATAAAATATATAAATATAAAATATATAAATATAAAATATATATAAATATAAAATATATAAATATAAAATATATATAAATATAAAATATATAAATATAAAATATATATAAATATAAAATATATAAATATAAAATATATTTATATTTATATTTTGATATATTTATATATTTATATATTTGTATTTATATATTTATATTTATATATTTATGTATTTATGTATTTATGTATTTATATATTTATGTATTTATATATTTATCTATTTATATATTTATGTATTTATGTATTTATATATTTATCTATTTATGTATTTATGTATTTATGTATTTTTGTATTTTTGTATTTATGTATTTATGTATTTATGTATTTATGTATTTATATATTTATATATTTACACGAATAAATATAAGTATAATTTAGTTGTAAATTATTATTAGAATATCCTAATAGTTTAGTGGTTGGAGTATCAGTTTTCAACTTTAAGGTACTTGGGTTCGAATTCTTGCTAGCTGACAATTCTTTTAGTTTAATATAATTTACCTACGATGTACTAGGTAATTCCAGTAGGTAATTACCTACCTGGAATTACTTCACGGATGACATTACCTACTCGGATAATATCCACTAGTAGGTAATATCCGTAGAGTAATGTAAAATTTACCTACGGATTTTCATCCGTGGGTAATATCCGTAGATAATGTAAAATTTACCTACGGATTTTTATCCGTAGGTAATATTCCGTAGGTAATAGGCTTTTTTTTTTAAGTAAAATATGATTGTATTTGGTTATTTACCTGTGACGTCATTTTTGAGATAATGACCTAAAAATGATAGGTGGTACTTTCAGTATGTTAATGTTGTATTGATGTTGATGAATTCAATAAGATATTTAAGTTTCACTGATACCCAAGTCACGTAGACTAAGTTATTAAGTAGTGAGAATCTAATGGGATAATTACTTGTTAGCATGCCTTAAAGTTATGAGAGATATGTTGTTGTTTTTGTTTATAGTTTTATCTTATGTTAGGTAACCAAATTTTTGTGGTAATTAAAGTTCTAATATAGTAGTCTATTATGATGTGATACAAAGATATTAGTATATAAATTTGAAATAGAGTGTTAAGTGTTAACACCTCATAATATATATATATATATATATATATATATATATATATATATATATATATATATATATATATATATATATATATATATATATATATATATATATATATTTCTCCGGTGTCAACCACCACCGTCACCATTGTTTCAACTTTCAACACCACCCTTTCTCTTCACCCCAGTGTTTCTCTTCCTCCGTTTTCCTCATCCCTAACATCAAATCTATCTCCATTGTTTTCTTTAAACTCAATTTCTCCTTGTCGACCATATCCCCGCACTCGCCTCCACTTAGGCTAGCTCCACACCTCTACCCAGGTCAAGCTTCGCATTGAGGGGCTAATGCCTCTCCAACTCGCCCCGCCCCCCTCCTCTGTCTCTTATATTGGTCTATGCATCCCTAATCTCTATTTTTTGTGGCAGCAACCTTAATCTATTTGGTTGAAAAATATGTTTCGAGCCTCAGGTTTATGGAGGCTCATGTTATTTTTTTTTTTTTATTTCTTCTTGCACCTCCATAGTTTTTTCCTACACTCCCATAATTAAAATAAATCTTATTTTATCTTACATCTATCTTCATTCTAGTAAGTATTTATTTCTGGTTTTTAAACCTTTTAAATGTTTGATTTTTAAACCCTAAAGCATTCTCATTTTTCCTTCAACTATGGTTATCAATTAAGGCTCCATTATTTCAAGAAACAAGTAAGAAGCTTTAATTGCTTTTAATTCATATCATTTGTTACCACATCCAATATCTTTAAACATTAGAAGAACAGGTGTAGAATAAGATCTTTAGATATGACTTTCCAGAAATACATTCTAGAATGGTAGGTTCGAAATACACTTCTGGATGTAATTTTTTGGAAATACATTTGGGATTGGTAGTTCCAAAATACACTTTCGGATTGTTCAATCCAAGCGAACATAATAAAAACATTGACTAACAATTGGAAGGTGCAATAATAAGGACACATCATCTAGTATGATGGTCATCTCACCTATGGGTAGATGAAAGTTGTTAGTCTCACTATGTCATCTCTTAACAAAGACAGATAATATTCTTATATCTACCATGTTATAACTAGCACCCACAAGTGCTTCCAACCCAGATAATTGAATTATAGTCGCAATCCGCAGGTATGGAGCCCCCAACTTATTTATTTTCTACTATGGGAAACACATTTTAACTCGTGACAATTTTGTTAGAATCGTGCAGCGGAATGTTCGCGTGGTCGGACAAAAACCAAGAGGGGGGGTGAATTGGTTTCTTAACAAAAATTAGGTTTTCAAAATTTTCCCCAAATTTTACCGATTAAAAACTGTGTAAATGTAAATAGAGTAGAGATAGAATCTTACACAGGATATTTATACTGGTTCGGATCAAAAGACCCTACGTCCAGTTGCTAATCACTCAAACAGAGGATTAACGTTGTCACTATAATCAAAGTTGTTACAAACAAATTACAATGGAAAAGATAAAGTAAAGAAAACACTTCTCTTGAAATCCACAAGAGATAAAGAACAACTTTCCCTAGAGACGGCACAACATACAATCCACTAAGAACTCCACTTAGTGATTCTTATCGCTTCTAGCCCACACCAGGTTCCAAAAGCCCCTTTTTCTTGCAACAAACAGTTCTCTGGCACTCACAACACTTAACTTTTGTATGAAAAAGGTTGTTCTTTTTTTCTGAGTGTCATAGAGAAGCTTAAGTAGAGAAATTAGGGTTTGGGAATTATGATTTTCGAAACTAGGGTTCTTGGAAATAGGGTTTTCGAAAATAGGGTTGATTTGAAGTTAAAAATCAAAATCTGACTGAAATAATCGATTAAATGAAGTGTTAATCAATTATTACAGAGCCAAAATCAACAGAACCCCAAAACTCTCTGTTTTAATCGATTAAAAGACCTGTTAATCGATTAACAGGCCTGTTAATCGATTAACAGGTGTGTTAATCGATTAAACCAGTGAGCAGATACAGAAAATGATTTTTCTCACTGTTTTAATCGATTAATTCACCATTTAATCGATTAAAGCCGAGGCACTTTGATAAATTTGAGCTTTTTGAAGCTTCTAAGGAGCAGACTATGTACCGAAAATTCGGTCACTAAATCTGCAAAATCGGTTACTAATTAAAATAGTGACCAACTGGAATCGGTCACTTTTATTATATCTATTATTTATTTTCCCTATCTCTTAATTATATTATATTTTGCTTATTTAAGTTTTTATTTATATTTATTTCCCCTATCTCTTAATTTTATTATATTTTTTAGAAGTTTAACTTATTATTAGGTGGTTTATTGTCATTGTCAGGATTCGAACCCGGTACCTTAGAGTTGGAGGTTGAAACTCCAACCATCTGAGCTACTAGGATCTTTTAATAATAACTTACAAATAAATTATATTTATATACAAATAAATGTATATCCGTATAAATATATAAATATAAAATCTATAAATAAAAATATATTTATATATTTTAATATATAAAATCTACAAATAATTGTATATTAGTATAGTATAGTATATTTGTATTCTAATTTTTAATTAAATTAAAATTATGCTAATAATGTATATTAATATATGAGGGGATAATATTGATATATTTGTATATATATATATATATATATATATATATATATATTTATATATATTTATATATTTATATATTGATATATTTATATATTAATATATTTATATATTTATATTTTTATATTTTGATATATTTATATATTGATATATTTATATATTTATTTATATCCTTATACATTTATATTTTTATATATTTATATATTTGAAAAAAAAATATTAAATTTTAAAAAAAATATTATATTTTAAAAAATAAATATTAGAAAAAGATTTAAAAATATATATAAATTATATTTACATTTACAAAATATTAAAGATATATGTTTATATCTTTACATATTTATATATATTTATATGTTTATATTTTTACATATATTTATATCTTTCCATATTTATATATTTATATATAAAGTAGTTTTGTATACAAATAATATTATAATATAGTATATTATACTATTAGTATAGTATACAAATAATATGTTAGTATAGTATAGTATACAAATTATTAATTTTGTAATTTATATACAATGAAAATAATATAATGGTATATTGGTATAGTATATTTGTATTCTAATTTTTAAATAAACTAAAATTACGCTAAATGTATAATAATATATGAGAGGATAATAAATTTAATCCAATTACTTTTATAAATATATAAATATAAAATCTATAAAATATTAAAAATGATATTATATTTTTAAAAACAAATATTAGAAAAAGGTTTAAAAACTAGTATTATCTTAAATTTATTAAAAGTATAATTAAATATCTATTTTCTTAATTTTTTTTTTAAACTTCTCAATTCTACATTTTTGTAAGTTCTATCATTATATTATATCATCCTCATCTCCTCCCATGTTCTACTTTATCTTTACAATAGTCAATATTCTTAACTAATTTATAGTTTTAATTATAATTTTTTAGTATATATTTTAGAAATTAATCAATTCTAATCTATTATTTGAAAAACTAATCAATTCTAATCAATAATTTAGAAAACTAATCGATTATAATTAATTATTTGAAAAAATTATCAAATATGATCGATCATTTCAAAAATATAATCGATCAGAATCAATTATCGCTCGAGCGAGACTATACTCGCTCAAGCGAAATACAACATGAGAGTACCAATTTTGTGCAGGGGCCTTTCGCTCGAGCGAGAAAGTTGTCGCTCAAGCGAGATACAGCTTTAGATAGCGGTTACACAGGAACCGCTCTTAAAAGCTCACTTAGATAGCGGTTAACCGTTGAACCGCTATTATATGGTTTCCATTATGATCGGTCAGAATGCAATTATGACCGATCATAACTGTTTTAATCGATTAAAATCTAGTTTCAATCGATTAAAACAATTTCTGCACAGCTGTTTTAATCGATTAAAACTTATTTTTATCAGTTAAAATAACTTGAAAACTTATATTAACTATTTTTTTATATTATGTTTTTAAATTTTCTATTAGAGAAAACCTTTCAGAATTCAAAATGTTAAATACTTTTAAATATTAAAATTAACTTTATCAAAAATTAGGAAAAAAAATTAATCCAAAAGAGTTCAAAAATGTATTATAATATTGTCAATTTTGAGTTTAATTATATGGTTCATTCTCAAAGTAGAAAAATATAATTTAAAATTTTAATACTAAAATTAAAAGATTAAATAATAATAAATTTAATTCTTTAAATTCAGTAGCTAGAAACTAAAATTATAGTTTCTCTGTTTGAAATAATTAAAATAAATATTTAAAAATAAAAATCAAAACTAGTATTATCTTAAATTTATTAAAAGTGTAATTAAATCTCTATTTTCTTAATTTTATTTGTTTCAAACTTCTCAATTCTACATTTTTGTAAGTTCTATCATTATATTATCATCCTCATCTCCTCCCATGTTCTACTTTATCTTTACAATAGTCAATATTCTTAACTAATTTATAGTTTTAATTATAATTTTTTAGTATATATTTCAGAAATTAATCAATTCTAATCTATTATTTGAAAAACTAATAAATTCTAATCAATAATTTAGAAAACTAATCGATTATAATTAATTATTTGAAAAAATTATCAAATATGATCGGTCATTTTGAAAATATAATCGATCAG